TATCACTTCAGTGAAATGCTAATTTTAAACAAACTGTAAAATGTCGTAAGTATTTTACACGTTGCTGCTACGAAACATCAGTTCCTTAACATGATCCTGCAGCCCTGCACATTTTCAAGGACGTGACTAAGAAAGCATAGCTAGGTATGGCCAAGCTTTTTCACTAATTAGGTTAACTAACTTAGTGAACTTACTCTAGCTGATGTTAGCCACATCCAGAAACACTGGAAATGTGTCCCTCTGACAAACTAACATGTTGGCAGATGTACAATGACGAGTGATCATCAGTATTCAGTGTTATGACAGCTAACTCTGTTAGTCATTAGCTCATCTGAAGAGGCAGCCTCCGTTAACATGAAAATCTACCCATTTACTAATTACCCATTTTAGTATAATAAAGTTTTAAAATGTGTTGCTTTGCATGCCACAAAATAACGTCAGCAGTTTTTTCCCTTGTTTTTCCAGTTAAGTGAGTATTCTTCATAAACCCTTACTGACACTTGGCCCTTACTACATGGCTAGTTTTTTTTTTTTGTTTTTTTTTACAGGGCTCCCTCCGATATCCAATCTGATACAGATACCCAACTATGAGGCCATCTTTAATAGCTAAGTATTGCTAAATTTACCAGTCCTTCAGCTTGTTACAATTTGCCAACTCGCTAACGAGGACTATCTTAACACACCGCAGGCAGTAGTGTCCGATCTCCTTACCCGTTTCGATGTCAGCGTACGCCAGATCCTTCCTTCCCCATCCTTTCTCCTCCTCTCCGCCCGTTCTGCCCTTCCCTTCTCCGCAGGGTCCACTGGCAGGCGCGCAGAGGTTGGGCTGAGGGTCCCTCCGCAGAGGTGCAGGCAGGACGGGACAGGTCTTGTCCCGGGACAGCGCCCCCTGCCGGTCCCACAACTCCTGCAGGTTCTGGAACTGCCGAGGTTTGCTGAGCCGCAGGCCGGTCAGCTCGATACAAACCTTCAGATTCTTCACTTCCTGCTCTGAAGGCTGCCGCCACACATCTACCAACAAACAACAAACAAAAGGTTAACATTTACAAGCCTGCGGTCATTTTGCCACACATTCAATTTACGTTAAATCCAACCTTTAACATAACTACGTAGTTTATTGCAGTTAGTTATATAATTAGTTGTACTCAATTACATTTACATCAATTTTTCATTCTGCATTAGTGCACACAGCAAAAACTTAATCGAACTCAAACACAAATATGGTATCAATCGAAAGTTGAACATTTTTAAATTTCACAAAATTCCTCCGCTTGCTTTTATAAACGGTAATTGCTGACATAAAATAAATAAGATTTAAGCTAGCTTATGCTGGCAAAATTTGCCACAATTGACACTTTCTAAATTTAAAATTTAGAAACTTTTTAAAAATTAACCAAAAACAAGTATAACTCACGTTTACATACAACTGTTTTGTAGTTTAATGCATTTACTGCATATTAATGTATTACATCAAATCTCTGGATGGATTGTTGTTGATCTAAAACAACATTCAATTGATAAATGTTTCATCAAGTTTGATCAAGAGTTTCAGCTTTTCATTTGCCCAGCAGCCATAAATGTTTCGAGGTGAGCCGGACTCGAGGCAACAAAGAAAAGTACAAAGTCCTTTTTGAGCACATGCAGAAGAGAAGCTCTGTATGCTTCTGCCTAAGCAAGAAAAATGTAAGTCTCATTTGGGACGTTTAGTGTGTTCTTCTTCGGGACGTTTACAGTTTCTGCGAGTGAGCGTCCTCAGAATACAAGAAAAGACCACGAAATTGAAGATTTGAACAGACACACAAACACACTACAATTAGAGAATTACACACACACACACACACACACACACACGGACTTGTAGGCAGGGAGAATCTTGAAAAGGCCGGAGCGACACAAAGGCTGTTTTGATGTTGGTCTGAAAACGCCCTTTAGCCCAAGCACAAAGCCGCAGCGACCCGGAGGACACACGCACACGGAGCCACGTGTGGGTTTATACCGAACATGTGACGGCAATAAACACAAATCCAAGATGGATCGAAAAAGACGTTCAAAAGAGAGGGACTAACGGCATTAGAGTTACATAAACAGAGACAAATATGTACATCGCTGCTGTCAAAGCAAAACCTCTCCAAAATCAAAACTTTACAAGAAAAGGAAAAAACCTACTTTACTTTTAATGTAAATCAATGGAACCAGAATTTTTTCCAAGTCATTTTGGGTCATTCATCATGAAATTTACATACAATGAAAGGCATTTTCAAATTATGTCAAAAAATGAAAAACATTAAAAACAGAGATGCAAGGTTTTGTTCCGACAACAGCACTAAATATATATAATACATGCAAATGTCTGTTTATCTTCAACTTTAAAGATATGTATGAGTGTATAATAACTTTTTAACACTTACACACTTTGATTTTTCTTTTTCCTTCAATGTTATCACTATTAACATGTAATATTACCATACTTTTTCCCAACACAAATCTATATGGAAATTTTTCAAGCTCAGCTGTAGGAGTTGGTTGGATTTTCTACTTCTTAAGGACAAAAATGGCAAAACAAATAGTATTACTAAATTTGCATACTTCAAGACATCCTGTCAATACACAGTATCATGATATTTAATTTTTCCTGATGTGTTGAACAGACCAAAAAGATTTTTATTCAATTTTTTACATTTATGCTGCACTAAATCCAATTAACCACGACTAATTATTCTCTTTCTGTAATGAAACATGCAGCTGATTGTTCTTTAATTACTGACAAGCTCCATGATATGAGCAGAAAGGCATATTTTGATGTAGTTTATCATGATAATTGTAGGTACAGTCATGTTGTCCACCCCTACCTTGATTTTTCTAGGATGAATAAAATCCTTAACTTTGAATATAAATTAATATGACGATAATTTTATTCTAAGTACTTTCAGACCATTTCTGTTGAACCATTCCCTTTCAAATGGGTGAGAAAATAAATTTGAGGTTTGATATGACCGCAACAAAAAGGGATCAATTATGATTCGGTTAGAAAGAAAGAAAAAAAAGAAAAGGAAAGAAGGAAAGAAATAAACAGAATGAAAGAAAGAGTGGTCTGTTTTTTTCTTTAACCTGAAATGAGTCTGGCCCTTTTGGCCGGTGCGGTTGTTTCATCCTCCGCTCCGTCTCTCTCCCTCCCTCGCTCTCTCTCTCCATCCCTCTCTCTCTCCTCGGCCGAGCGTGTGCAGTCAGGGTGGCCTTGGCTCTGCTCCAGGCCGAGCGGGCGTTTCCGGCCGGTTGCCGTGCCGACAGCGGCCCCCTCCCCCGCCTGCTCCTTCCTCTCCCTCTCATCCCTCGCTCTCTTGTCCTCCGGCGGGCCGCAGCGCTGCAGGACGGGGACGCGGTTACCACCTGCACGCACACACACACACACCCACACACACACACACACACACACACACACACACACACACACACAGAGTGAAATACAGCGTTAACCACACAGTTCACATCACGGCCTGGAACAAAAAAAAGAAAAAAGGTGTTTTCAAGCAATCAGAGAGAGAGAGAGAGAGGGAGAGAGAGAGAGAGAGAGAGAGAGAGAGAGAGGGGGAGAGAGAGAGAGAGAGCGAGAGAGAGAGAGCGAGAGAGAGAGAGAGAGAGAGAGCGAGAGAGAGAGAGCGAGAGAGAGAGCGAGAGAGCGAGAGAGCGAGAGCGAGAGCGAGAGAGAGAGAGAGAGAGAGGGAACACCAGCTTTGTCCCCCCTTCCCCGGACGCCCTCATGTTTGCATTAGCTTCACCACACCCTTCCCCGCATGGAGAGAGAGACACACACACACACACACACACACACACCCTCCCTCTCTTTCCCTCCGGCTCCCTCTCTCTCTCTCTCTCTCTCTCTCTCTCCCTCCCCGAGCTTAAATTAGCCTGAAACATCCGTGCCGAGAGCTTAGGCTGCGATCCAGCTTCAAGCCCGCCCCCTTTCTATTCTCTCTCTCTCTCTCTCTATTCCCTCTCCCTCTTTTTCCATTCCCTCTCTTTTTCTATTTCCCATCTTTCTTTCCGTCCCTCTCTTTTTATACTCCGTCTCTCTGTTTTCTATTCTCCCCTCTCCCTCTTTCTTTCTCTCTCTCTCTCACTCTGGCAGTAAAAGGCCTGCTCTGGAAGTCTCCAGTCTGAGAGCGGTGCGGATCAAAAACAGACGCTGGGGGCTCGCTCTCTCGCCCGCCGCACTCACACACACGATCGCACCGTTGCCACAAACACATGCACTCATGATTGCGCTCGACCACGCAAACAAAAACATTCTGTTTAGTGTCCGTACTCGTACCCTATAGTGGTGTCAATACAATTCTATACAGCATGAAACGCTCCAATACGACTCGACACAGTTTGACACTCCGTGATACAGTTCAAAGCAATTCGATATGCTGTGATACAAAACAATGTTCTGTGATATAATTCGTTAAGTTACGATATGCTATCAATACAATACGATGCTCTGCAATACAACTTGATACAATTCGACAGCTGTGACAATTTGATGTCACCATGTGATACAATTCAACACAATTACACACGATACAACACAATCCTATTTAATAGAGTCTGATATGATATGTTGTAATATGATACATTGTGATATGTTGTGATACAATATGTTGATACAATTTAATAAACTGTGATACAGTTCGATACAATATAGTACGTTGCGATACAATACGTTATGATACGATATGTTGTGATACAATTAGATACAATATAATACGTTTGAATACCGTATGTTGTGTTATGATTCGATACAGTACGATACGTTGTGATACAATTCGATACATGATAATACGCTAGAATACACTGTTATGATACAATATGTTGCAATACGATACGTTGCGATTCAATACAATGATATACTGTGATAATTTAATTCTTTGCATTACGATATGCTGTAATACAATGTAATTAATCATACTCTTACATCCCCAACACACAACCTGCCAGTCTCACCATCATAAAACTCTCCCTGCAGTTTGTCACCTTAAACTCACACACACACACACACACACACACACACACACACACACACACACACACACTCCAGTGGGCCTCTCCGTCCTGCCCCTCTACTGGCCCAGACAAGAATGCTGCTTGTTGTGCCTCAGGCACACACACACACACGCATGCATCTCATGACACATGCATCCCATAATTCATGGCTACGTCAGCACCATGGCAACTCTCCACCAAAGTGGATCTCCATGGCAACATTGTTCCCTGCCGCCCGGATAGAGGGAGAGTTGGCGCGACCGCTCCGATGAAAAATGTCCACTAATAACCCAGAGAGAGCGAGAGAGAGAGAGAGCGCGAGAGAGAGAGAGAGAGAGAGAGAGAGAGAGAGAGAGAGCGCGAGAGAGAGAGGTGTCTGTTTTTGGAATGGTCTCCCAGTATAGGAAAATCGGGAGCACAGTCTAGAACACTATTACAGGGAACGGAATTCATGACTGGCCATTTTGGGGACACGGAGCAACACCGTCATTGGGGGGCTCCACATCCCACCCAAGAGCAGAACAGAAAAAGATGTAATACTTAATTGATTTTGATGAGAAAAAAAATGTAAGAAAGTCAGAAAAGATGCAAGGGGTCATCTGGTGGCTCCAGGGGGCCCAAAGCTATGGCTTATAGCGAGAGAGAGAGAGAGAGAGAGAGAGAGAGAGAGAGTATACACTATGTTTTCGATGAACAGAATTCTTTTGTGCCCGATACGGCTTGCACCACAAACACACACAACCCTCCGGGGCGCCCAGAAACTCTGCCAACATGCTCAGCTCGCTAAACACCCACCAACCTCACACATCCCAACACACACACACACACGTGCGTGCGGACAGACAGGAAACACCCCGGCCTCTGGGAAAGCCTGGAGGGAGACGGAGGTCACGAACACGAGTTATGTAAATCTGGAAATTTAAATGGTTCCATTAGCACACGAGGACAGCGGGAAAACAGGGGGACGGAGAAAAGACGACAAAAACAGCACAGAAAGAGAGAGAGAGAGAGAGAAAGAAAGATAGAGAGAGAGAGAGAGAGAGAGAGAGAGAGAGAAAGAGAGAGAAAGAGAGGGGAGGGGGGGCAGGATGAGAGACGTGCATGTGTGTGGCGGTGGAGGAAGTGCTGTATCCGCTGTGTTGGTTGGAGCTGCTGTGTGGAGCCGCAGAGAGCGGGACAGTCCCTACAGCAGGGGGGAGAGAGAGAGAGAGAGAGAGAGAGAGAGAGAGAGAGAGAGAGAGAGGAGAGACACGAGACAGAAAAAAAGAAAGGTGAGTGGAGGGAAAAAAAGAAATCAAAAGAAAAGACCAAAAGAGAGAAAGAGAAAAAAAAGATGAGAGAGTGAGAGAAAAGAGAAAGAAAGGTCAGTGGAGAAAAAAAGACAGAAGAGAAAAGCAGAAAGGGGGGAGAGAGAGAGAGAGAGAGACACGAGACAGAAAAAAAGAAAAAGAAATAAAAAAAAAAGTGAGTGGAGGGAAAAAAAAAGCAAAAAAAAGACCAAAAGAGAGAAAGAGGAAAAAAGACAGAAAAGAGAGTGAGAAAAAAAAAAACAGAGGAAAGAGAGGGTGAAAAGAGTGAGAAATCGAGTGAATGAGTAAGAGAGAGAGAAAGATGAAAGAGGCAAATGATGAGCCAGAGCGGCTGTGAATGATACGTGATGGAGAAGGAGCAACGACAAGAGAGAGAGAGTGTGAGGAGAAGTGGTGTGAGCGAGCGAGCTTGCACGCTTGAACAAGAGAGAGAGAGAGAGAGAGAGAGAGAGAGAGAGAGAGAGAGAGAGAGAGAGAGAGAGAGAGAGAGAACGCGTGGAGGACGGCAAGTCCGTACGTGTGTGTGTGTGTGTGGTGTCTCACCGCTGTGTGTGTCAGTCTGCTGCTCCGTCAGTGCTGTAGGAGTTTTAGAGCCGAGCTGGCTCTGCTCCCACTCCACTTCTCCGCGCTGGCTCTCCGCCAAACCCCTCTCTCGCTCCTTCTCCCTCTCTTTCTCCCTCTCTCTCGCTGGGCCGGGGCTCGGCACACACCCCTCCTTCTCCTTCAGCTCCAGCTCTGAGAAACGCATCATCGCACGCTGCACACACCCACACAAACACACACACACACACACACACCATGAAATGAGAGATTCTCCGCGATCGAGAGCGCTAGTCACCAACCGACCTCAGCACAACGTAAACATGACGTCCAAATAATAACAGTTCAGTTACTGCAAAACTGCATTTATGCGTAGAAAGCAATGTGGTTAAAAGCGCCATTTGGTGAAAAATCAAATTTACACAGTTTTACCCCAGATTTATGTAGCTGCTTAACCAAGACGCTACTGTTTTTAGCTATACTACGTACATTTTTGGGTCATACCGTATCAGAAACTAATCTATTTAAGATTACTTCCAGACATGTTTTGGCAAAAAATCTAATTTGCAGTTTTCCGCTTCAGCTGAGACGATTTTAGTGTCCAAATTTTGCTTCTTCATTTTAGAGTTGGAGCTATGAGGCTAATTCTGCCAACACTAGTCAATAGTCACCCAAACATTTTGCAAAAATACAGCCACAAAACTTCACTTGTGATGAAGAACACAGTATGACTTAACATGAACTGGTAAAACCACCAAACTTCACTGCACAGCTACACATAGCAGGTAACTGCTTTAGACTACGCAGATTGAAAAATGTTTTTTGGATGTAGTTACATAAGGTTTGGGTGACTATTGACTACTAGTGTGTGTTAGCAGCATTAGCCTTGTAGCTTCAGCGCTGAAATAAAAGAAGCTAAACTTGGACACCAAAACGGATCTAATCAGCTACATCTAGGACAAGTGGAAAACTGTAACTCGGTTTGAGGTATGTGACGAGTATGTGATGACTGATGCTGCGTTCACAAGTTTGCGGCAGATGGACGATGGCGAACCGGATATTCCATTAATTTCAATGAAGCCACAATGGAAAATGGTGCTAAAGCAAGCAACAACGGTATGCAGACTGCAATGGTAAGTGGAGCAATCTGTCCAATTTTCCCAAATTTGCCATTGAACCACAGATGCCAAGCGTCTCGTTGTTGAATCCCAGACGAACCCAGTATTGTCCAACACAAACAAGAGTACAGAGCGCCCCCTGCTTTTCTCTACCGTAAATCAACAATTGAGCTACACTGTTAAAGCTCTCTGCTGATAATCTTCCATTTTTGCCAACATTGCGACCACCATGTCAACGTCTGCGTAGCTTCATGCCCATCGGCCGCGTTTCCACTACGAGGTGTGGAATGCCAGTTTGTCCAATGCAAATATGTGAACGCAGCATTAGGCATGCAGTTTACATGAGGCTAATTGCTAATTAAAAGTTCCATTTCTTGTTAGCTATATTAGAATTGCAGTGCGAAAACCAAAGGACCAAATTCCCAACACCAAACGCATCTAGGCCAACAGTCAGCGTTTTTGCGCTGAAGGGGGAACTGTGAAGATCTGATTTTTCGCTGAATCATTTTTTTAAGAAAGACAAGTCATGCCGTGTGATTCTTTTTCCTTAAATGAGAGAGTGTGTGTGGCGACACATTGAGGAACAAACGTTCTGAGTCAATAGATGACCTTGTGCGGAGGGGGGGAAACACCAAGCGTTACTCATTTCAACTTTGATTAGTAATAAAAAAATAAAGAACTAACCTCACAGTTAGCGGCTGGTTGACTTAAATTACTGTCCTCTGGTGATACGACTTCCATCTAAGCAATTAGAACGTGTGCTCAATATCTTTATCTTTCCAGTCATTACATTCATTTAAAACACAGTCAACATGATCTCAACCCCCCTTTCAGACAATGACAACACATCGATTACTAAAATTGAAGAAAACAACAAAAATACAGCTCTTGATAAAATCAGCTTGACGGACTGTGGGTGCGCTGTAGCTAAGAAAGCAACATGAGCAACAAAAGCGTGCCATTTTACAGTTTATTAGCCTTTTTAAACAGGGTCACAATTCACTTTCTGGTCAAAAGTGCAAAACTAAGTGTTCTACCCAACATTAAAGAAGGAAGTGCTGGATATAAAAACAAAAAATAGCCCAGGAAAGAAGCTGAAACAGGGCTGCAGACCATGCTTTGGTGCTGGACTGAGGACTATTAAAAGAAAAGCAGCGGGGCTGGCCCGAAGAGCACTTTACAGGCTTCGAATAATTGCTGGTATTTCCGGATGGGTACCTGAACACTCACTCTCAAAATTGGCTTCAAGACCAATTTTACTTACGCTTGATAATTATCTATAATTAACAGTCATCTTAAGCATATTCTTTGTATTCAATGGGTGAAAATGACGTATTAATAGTGCTGATGATCAGAGATGATCGGAGATGATTCACCAAACTTGTCATAGCTCCATGATAAGTTTTGCAAGAAGCATTTCTTCTTATTGTCTGAAAATTTGCAGCGTTTCCATGTAATATATTTTCGGGCATCTCTGATCTTTTAGCTTCAGTGGCTACATGGAAACCGGTGCGGTTTGTCACACTCTGTGGGAGGGTGACCTGGATGCTTAGCATCCAGGCCAATGACCGTTTTATCCAAAGGCCTTTGCTCATAAAATCTATTGGAGTAAAAGGTTCAATTTTTGTGGCAAAGTTAAGAAATAATAACTAATAATACCAACGTAACAAATGGGTGCTCTGGTTTTCAAATTTTTGGGCCAGGCCTAGCAAGCTGCTGTGAGCAGCTAAACCTGCTATAAATTACTATTATATTCAAAACTATCCATGTATTAATGATAATCGCTCTATCTAAAGGCTTTTGCTGATAAAACATGTTGCATTAAAAGCTATAAACGTAAAGAACAAGTTGTCAAGTATTCAAATTATTTGGGCCAGATCTAGTAATTTGTTCATAAATATATGTTTGGGCCAGCCCTAAGAACACAATTAATAGTGTAATTTAGGCCAGGACCCTGCTGCACTGAGGAAAAGGTTTCCTTTAAAAGTCCTCAGCTCATCAGACAGTTACTGCAAATGCGGTAGAATACGAGGTCTGCCGAAACCCCCCTTTTGCTCTATCTCTCTGCACTCAGCGTGTGCGTATGTGTGTACACTAATGACTCTGCCAGGCAGAGCACTCGTCTCGCTGCTGCTGCTGAAGACCTCTAATCTTCCCCATCAGAAATGAATGGGCCGGATTTCACTTAAGCTGGGAGGGCTGCCACTGTGCGCCGAACGATCGGGGGCTTGGGGATGTGTGTGTGTGTGTGTGTGTTTGGGGAGGGAGGTAGAATAGAAGCTCTGTAGAAGTGGGTGTGTGGCTCTGGGCACGGTATTGCTCTCGCTCTCTGACACACACACACACAGACCCTGCCAGTCTCCAGGGCTCGCCTGCAGGTTAGCGGTTGCCTGAAGCATTATGTGCTAGCGAGGCCGTGGCGGGCGCAGACACACAGAGCAGCTGAGCTTCCGCTCGACTGGGCAAGCACAGCCACAGACGGCATGTTGTGTTAACTCTTTCTCCCGCTAACCCAGCCGCACGCCCTTACACGCAGACACACACACACACTCCGTGTTGTGTTAATTCCCTCTCTCACGGCTGCCGCCAGAGCCTGCCCGCTGTTCGACAGCCTCACAGCAGGGAGTGAAAAAACGAAGGGGGGGTGGCGGGGGGAGTAGTGCAAGGGTAACAGCCAACCATAATTACCGAGGCGCTCAATATGACTGAGTGTGGTGGTCTGACGCAAGAGCTGCCTCAGAGCGGAACTACGGCCGTTAGAGCCGGGTTTATAGAGAGGCTTTACCCTTCACAGGCCAGCCAGAGCCCTTCTAACGAAGAATGACAGTGATTGGCCTTTGATTTTCTCACTGACTAAGAACTGAACTGAGCACTTATACTGAAACAAAAATGTGTCAAGTGTCCCCAGAACCACTCATACCTAAACCTTAACCTGAAGTACGTTGAATCTGAATTTGAATAGTTTATGACTCTAGTGTGTGATTGCGAAACAAGTTTGAAAGCAAGCATAAAGTTAAACATGAACTAGCTCAGCCTCCGCATGCCTTGCTTACCTGCAGGGCGCGCTGTTCCCGACTTAGTTTGCTGGAGTCTGCGTAAAGCTCAGTGGTGACGCACTTGAAGCGGTCACCCACGTAGCCAGATGAGTTGGCTATCCTTTTGGCCAGGCTAGACCGCTTGTTTTTAGAGCAACCTTGTCCATCTTCCTCGCCCTCATGAGATTCTGCGTTTTCTGGTCTCTCCTTGCCCAGATCCATGTACTGCCGGATGGCATGGTGCCGATCAGGCTTGAAATTAGCGGCATCAGGTCGAACCCTGTCACCAGAGGTCCTGGCACAGCGCAGAGTCTGCTCCTCCAGAAGAGGAGGCAAAGGACTACGCTCGCTGGAGCTCTCCTCGCCCTGGCTTTGCCCAGGAGACTCGGGACGCTCCTGTGCCTCGGCGGGGCTACAGGGCTCTGGCTGCCGCTCAGCCTCAGCTGGCTTGGATTCCGCTGGCTGGCTGGAGCGCAGGATCTGCATGAGTTCTGGCTCCTTCCCTTCGGAATTACCAGCACTCCCAGTCCTCTCCCCTGTCCCGCTGCCGGCTGGCTTGGTAGGCTCTCTCTGCTTGGCAGGGCTGGCGCTGTACTTGTCTGGCTCAGGACTGCCATCTGTGTCGTCTTGGACTAGGTCGATGCAGACAATCTCCTCTTTGCTTGCTGCGTGGAGCTTACTCTGAAGCTTGGAGCCCAGAACTTCTGGCCCTTCTGACTCCCTCTCAGATTTGTAGCGCATGTCCATGTCAGAGGCACTCTGCTGCTTGTAAGAAGTCTCCTCATGTTGCCAAGTCTTTTCCTGAGGTCTAGACCTCAGCTCAACTCGCTCATTGACTTTGGGGTCAAGAGGCAAGTGGGGAGACATCAGGGGATGGACCATCTCTTGTGAGTCATGGTAGGTTAGATACTCTCCATGAGTGGGCGGTATTCCATAAGGAAGGCCAGGCTTATGAGGCAAACGTGCGGCATACAGACTGCTGCTGCTCAGCAGGACTGGGTGCGGGTACACTGGTCCTTTGCTCGGCAACTGCAAGTGTGAGAGAGACATACTCTCTGGAACGGAATATGGGAGGTATCTGTTAGCGTATGCTAAGCTAGTGGGCAAGTAGGTTTCACCCTGGCCCATGTAGAGGTGACTAGGTGGATGTCCATTTTCTATGTGGGGCTGCTGGGGTTTGAAGCTAATTTCAGGGGTCTCTGATTTTTTAGGGGTCTTTGTGGGCTTTGAGGCTGAGGGGTGGCTGCCTCCCCGGTTAGCCGTTGGTACCTTCTCTGGTGGAGTAGGGGCAGACTTGGGCCAATCACCATTAACCTTGGGAGAAGGGGAGGCAGATGATGGTCGACATGCTGATGTCACAACAGGAGCAGGGTTAGAGACGACACTATTGTTGGGTTCACCTATCCTTGGGCAAGAAGAGCTCCTTGGCTGCTGGGTTACATGCTCTAGATTCTTGCATTTGATTACTGTGGAAACTTTGCTGTGTTTGGATTCAGAGCTGAGTGTCTGGGCTGTGCTTGGCACCACCCAGGAAGAGTGTAAAGTGCTAATAATCTCAGGCCTTTCTGGAGTTTTAGATGAAGTGCTGACGGCAGAGGACGATGGGGACAGAGTCTCTTTTAGAAGCTCTCTGCTTGGGGGAAGTCCATAACGAGAGGTGGGAGAGTAGCCCAGTTTTGCCAAAGCCTCTAGCTTTGGAGGGAATCCATTAGGAGGTCCTTCAAAATCCATGATTTTGCCAGACAAGTCCAAAGGCTTGTCTGCTGGGTCTTTGGTAGGGGGACCCTCCTGTGCAGGTTTCTCAGTGGAGGTTTTCACAGGGGAACTACAACCTTTCCTCTCACTTCCTCCACTTCTGTGCTGCTCTGAACTCCCTTCTTTAGACTTGGACTTCTGATTGGCAGGCCTTACAGGAGAGCGATTCTCTTGTGACATGTAGAAGGGGTGGGAGACTGCCGGAGTGGACGAGGAGGACAACGAGGACGAAGGACTCCGAAATATGGGCTTCTGGAAGTCTAAAGTGCTGTCCACAAGTGGTGGGGGAGCACCAGGGGGCTGAGAGGATCGTGGAGCAGGACGGGGTGCTTGCATCACCAGCGAAGGGCTTGAGTCTACTGGGATGCTTGTAGTAGAGCTGCTTGTTATGCTAGCACTACTACCACTACTACTACTGATACTGGTGCTGCTACAGCTAATGGTAGTACTGCTGCTGCTTGAGGTCTTGCTCAAAGGGGTTCTTATGGGCTTGCTGCTGCTAATATTTCCAGTGTTGGAGTGTTGCCTCTCACTTTGTGCCTGGTGGTGTGACTGGGCCTGCTGCTGATGCAAGGACTGCTGCCCAAATGCAGAAGGCTCATGGTGAATCCTTGGCCCGATACTCTGTAAGGTTTTGTCTTGGTGGTGCACCAGTGGCGACAGTGCCGTGGGGGCTACAGTACCTGTAGGAATCCTTAAAGGAGGTGGAAGGGGTGATGAAATGGGGGCTGGGGTGTAAGGGGGCATGTAGAACAACCGCTCAGCACCGGCTGCACTCCCTCCTGCCCCAGCGCAAAGTGACTGGTAGGCCAGGTGTTGGGGCAGGTATGGTGAAGGCTGTGACATGAATGATGCTTTGTACATATTCAGAGCAGCGTACTTGCTGGAGTCCAGGAAGGGATATATTCCGGCTTCATGGTAAGGACTCACCCATGGGAGACGCAGGTAGCCACTTGCGCTACCACCACTTAAGGCCAACTCTGAGGGCTTATCCACAGGTCCAACATGCCTATCCAAGCCCAAAGTGTCCGCCCCAGTCCCTGGCACAACCAGTGGTTTCTGAATCCCAGGTGGGGGGCTTTTATAAAGTCCAACGTAACCATTTGTGGCTTTTCTACTGTCCAGTGACACATCAGGTTTATAGAGTAATTCTGGGATCCGGTCTCCAACGTAGCCCTTTTCTGTTGGCAGGGTTCGGATTCCTGGCGGATAAACTATTCCCCCGTGAACATGGAGGCTTTCCCGCATCAGGCTGCTCCGATCAATGCCAAGTGCTGTGAGAGGGTTCATTCTGCAGGCTGCACTTGCATCCACCTGGGAGGAAGACAGAAAAAAAAGAAATAAGGCTCAAGCTTCAGAGACACTTCTGAGAGCAAACAAAATGATTAAGCACACTCAGGTTAATTCAAAACTATCTGAAAAGTAAAAGTTTCTGTAAGAAACCTTAATGTGGGAGGAAGATAATGCAATAAGTGTATTTGGTGAAAGTTTGATTCTGCCAATAAACCTAAATTTCTAAGTTTCTTTTTTAACAATCTTCAAACTGTGCAATCAGTATAAAAGGGCCTTTTCATAACCGAACACAAATAATGTCACATAAATTTGGATTTAAATGCAGAGTTATGAACAGTGAATTTCTTTTGTTTCTCGCATAGAGAGCAAAAGCTAAAGGAAGCGGTGCGGAAGTCACAATGTATCGCGTCAGTCAAGGTCACAGAAGGGAGACGGCAAGATCGTTCTTAAATGTCAGCCTCGCCAAGGTTTCCGCAGGGGGAGACAGGGCTTTGATGTATGCTTTAGGAGACGCCCGGCAGACAGCTCAGATCCGTCTTCCCATCGGGCCCAGGAGAGACCGAGGCGCGTATCTACGCCAAGGAGATGGCGGGGATCTAAATTACACTGATCCTACTGGCATGTTCCCACTGCCTACACACGTAAACAAAGGAGAAAACGACTAGGAGGAAACAATTGTCAGATGAAGGACTGATGCACATCAGGAAGGGTAAGCAGGTGAACAGGTTTATTATGGCAAAATAATGCAAAAAAACAGTGGGACATGTGAGTGAAGAACAAATATCAGCTGCAAATCTATTGCTTTATGACACCATTTGATAAGCAGTACAGAGATAAGGCCTTACCATGCTTTGAATGATGCTTTAGAGTTTTCAAATCAATTCTTGCTGGATTCTCTGGTCGTCACCATCCCTTGTGAACAACTTCCTATGAACGGAAAGCAGGATTTAAGTTGATATCAAACTTGGACATCTTTATGACAATATCTGTACTATCACAGAGTGCATTCACGAAATCTTTCTACTTCTATTTCGGAGAAAACGAGCAAAAGATTTGCACACAAAATGGCTATTTTGTAGTCGTAAGTAATTAGACAAAATGTGTGCCCTGTATACCTTTCCATCAAACCGGCAAAACGGGAGCACCGGCTCAGCACAAAGGCTAGAAAAAAAACAAGCAAACAGTCTCTCCGGTCAGGCCACAGTCTGTCCTAAAACACGCCTGCTTTTGCATGGCCGGCATCCAGGCTGCGGAGCACGTGACTTTGTTATCAAGGAGCGAGGGCTCCGATAAGAAATGCCTCCGCGTGCTCGGCACCCCTCCCCCATCCTCTGCTCTCCTCCGCTCTCCTACCCCGAAAAAAGAGACCGGAGGGGGGGCGGATTCATCACAGCGCTGCGGAGGGAAAGATGCAAAAGATGCAATCGGCCTGCCGTGCAGCCACCCAGCCCGTGTTACTGACGCCCCGGATTTCAATAAGGCAGGCCAGGGGCTCTTATCTGCACCCTGCTGCCACTGATGGGAGGGGGTGGAGGGAGGGCTAGACTGCCCTGTCTCATCAATCACACGGAGGCCCACTCTAACCACCAACCCCCCCGTCTCGTTTTCGTCACTTCCATGGCAACCAGTATAGCAACAGGGGCTAATGTCTAAACAAGGAGAAGGAGGAGGGAGGAAAGTAGGGGAGTGGGTTGGTGGTGGGGGGGTGGTTTCATAGCTTGGAAATTACAGCCCACTGCGCGTGATCACAATAGAAAATAAGCAATTACAAGAAGCAAAACTAATTAAAGGATTTTCTTTTTTTTTTTACATGCAACTAGCATTTTAATTCGACAAGGTCGTTTCACAGCCAGGCTGCAGCTCGTCGCCCGTGCCAGGTGCTAATGGGCCGACACCTTTGGAAACACCTACATGCGCACGCACACACACGCACACACACACACCTTAGCCCTTATCAACATGTAAGCTTTTATTGCCACCCCATTATAACTTCCCCCATATTATTAACCCTCTTATTAAACATTGTAAATTCCAGCTTTCTTCCTGAGCCTCCGTCCATCTGTACATCCATCCGTTAAACACTAATCCGGACCTTGGCTCGCATGGGGTGTGTTTTTGGGTAGTGGTGGGGGTCTAGATGGCACCCTCACACCACCCCTCCCCTTCAGAGCTCAGAAGAGAAAAGGGCCTCTCAAAGGGGCCATCAATCAGAAAACCAAACAGGCCACTAAAAGCACATACGACTCGCACATGGACTTCTTTTTCCTGGCATTTTCCTTTTCAGTGTAAATGCCAACAACCATGCAGGGGTTAAACCGATATTAAATTGCTGCTCAAGGCACCGACAAAACTAATTTAATCGCCCAAACACAAAGTCTTAATAGTATTTGACACATTAAAAAAAAAAAAAATTAATAAGCTACACTGCAAAAAATATCTTGGCAAGTGAAATCATCTTAATTCTAATTCTAAATATTAGATATATTGATTATGTTATAAGATTATTTAACTTAGTTTTACTTATTTCTTTTAGGTTATTTCAAAGTTGTCTTACACCACTGGCAGATAATTCTGCTCATTTCAAGAAATAATACTTAAAAAAAATTTATCAGCCAACAAAATACAGTTTCTCGAGACAAAATGACTCGAAACTTCCAAAAAACAAAACAAACATTCTTACAACATCAAAATGAGAAACACTAGATATTTGACTAGATTTGAGATGGTTGCACATCGCAGGATCATTTTTCTGCAGCGTAAAAATCACGTCAAAAAAAATCAGACGGTATTTCAGTAAAAGCAGTATACACAGGAGTTATTCTAGAGTAAGCATGTAGAGTACACTTAGGCTAGTCTAATTCTAAGACAGGACCCAGTTAGCACCTTAGAATACAAGTTCAAGTAGAAAACAGCTACACAAGTAAAACTGAATAAAAATATAGAAATAAAAGAATGAATAAACATCAAAGTATGTACATTACTTATGATCATCATGATGCGAGATGGTGAAACGACAAACTTGGCAAAGGCTTTTAAGTCCTTAGTGAGATTGTTGTTTGCAATGTCGTGTAAAATAAAGTGAAACGCAGAGGGCACAGCGCACCAGAGAGACTGAGAAAAACGCCCACAGCACGAAAAAGAAAGACGAGAGTGTAAAAATGTGTTTTCGCTTTTCAGGTTGAGAGAGAGTGAGAGAGATTTAGACTCGGCTGGGTCTCGCGCAGGCCACCATTTCGCAGCACAGCGCGGCAGGGCGGGGGAGTGGGGGGGGGGCGTGTATCGCTCAGCTCACTTTAGCGCTGCTGGGTCTCCTGCGCGGCTACTGTGTGCATGTCGTTAGGCAGCCTTAGAAGAGCCCACGGCCCTCGGAGCCCTGACGGGATCATGTGGTCACACAGATAAGATCAGGATCAGCCTGGAGAGGGGTTTAAGGGGTTCAGGAGTTAAGGTCTACAGCGCTGCAAGCGACGGTTTGGCAGAAACACATCTGTACAATTTTCCTCCTTATCCTAAATGTAGCTGAGCCAAGTGTGGCTTGTTTTGTGCTGGAAGTAAGAAGGTCAATGTGGCCAACGTGAAAAGGAAGCTTATAGGTCACCAATTTGCCTAGTTGTATCTACTTGCTGAGTCCCCTCAAACAGACCTGCATGGGTTCTGACCCTGATAACTACTGATAGTGCAGTCTTAGAAATAAAGGTACTAAACTGTCTCTGGGTCAGCGCCCCTCTTGTCACTGGGGTGGTACCCTCAAGGGTTCATCTCAGTACCTTTGGTGAGGGAACATAATTGTACCATAAAGCATTAAAATGATATGTTCTAAGCTGTACTGACTCCACACACCCCGTCTCGTCTCCAGGCTTTTATTTTACTGTTCTGTTTTAAAACATTCGGTTATGAAAAGGTACAAATACGAACTTTTCACCTGGAAAAACTGATTTAAGGTTCACAATCAGACCTTAAAACCACTGTTGTGCCTTTGAGGGAACATTTACACTGTTTGTACCTTGATGAACGAAAAATGTACCTGAACAGAACCTTTATTTCTAACAGTGTACTATGATGGGCTATGGTTATAAGTTCGGAGATTTGGGTATTGGGTCTAGGTTCCATAGCTTTGGGGATTACTTATAGTATTAGTAGGACTGGACAAGTTTCATGATATTATTACGTTTAATGTTATATAGGTTATATAGGTTAGTTTCCCCACTCTAGTCCAGATCATGTGGGTCTGTATTGGTCTCATTTACTACTGGAGTTTCAACGTTTTAAACTTTTAGACTTAAAACTAAAACGCCACATCATTTCCGCAGCTTGCGCGACCCTGAATAAGAATGGTGGGAGTTTATATTTAATTGGCCTGAACGAGATGATGCAATGAAGGTGATAAAACGGTTGCGTTTGAGTGCTCTACTTGCACGCTGCGCAAGCTGCAATGCTCCGTGTTCAACGGCTTCACGCTCTCGAGTGAAAAAAGAAAGAAAAACAGCGTGGAGGCTCCTGCTGCACGCGGACACAAAAAGCGTGATGAAGCGGAGAAGCTCGCGCTCCCCCTCCCCCCCCCCTCTCTCTTTCTCTACCCCTCCCGTGAGAGCCTCTCTCAGAGACAGAGGGAGAGACTTCAATCACTCTGCGGCGTCTCCGGGCGCGAGCGCCTCTGTAACCGGATCCCCGCGCCTCTCCGCTCTCGCGCACCAAATTTCCACTCGCGCGCTGCACGCAGACCGGCGGCAGGATGAAAACATAAAGAAAGCAGACAGCGAGACAAAAAGACGACAACGAAACGAAGCGAGACAGAGATCCGAAAGACAGTTAATCCCAAACCCAGCTAATACCAGACCAGAACTCAGTTAATACGTAATCCCAAACCCAGCTAATACCAGACCAGAACTCCTTTAATACTTAATCCCAAACCCAGCTAATACCAGACCAGAACTCCTTTAATACTTAATCCCAAACCCAGCTAATACCAGACCAGAACTCCTTTAATACTTAATCCCAAACCCAGCTAATACCAGACCAGAACTCAGTTAATACATAATCCCAAACTCAGCTAATACCAGACCAGAACTCAGTTAATACATAATCCCAAACCCAGCTAATACCAGACCAGAACTCAGTTAATACGTAATCCCAAACCCAGCTAATACCAGACCAGAACTCCTTTAATACTTAATCCCAAACCCAGCTAATACCAGACCAGAACTCAGTTAATACATAATCCCAAACCCAGCTAATACCAGACCAGAACTCAGTTAATACATAATCCCAAACCCAGCTAATACCAGACCCAGAACTCCTTTAATACTTAATCCCAAACCCAGCTAATACCAGACCAGAACTCAGTTAATACATAATCCCAAACCCAGCTAATACCAGACCAGAACTCCTTTAATACTTAATCCCACACCCAGCTAATACCAGACCAGAACTCAGTTAATACATAATCCCAAACTCAGCTAATACCAGACCAGAACTCAGTTAATACATAATCCCAAACCCAGCTAATACCAGACCAGAACTCAGTTAATACATAATCCCAAACCCAGCTAATACCAGACCAGAACTCCTTTAATACTTAATCCCAAACCCAGCTAATACCAGACCAGAACTCAGTTAATACATAATCCCAAACCCAGCTAATACCAGACCAGAACTCAGTTAATACATAATCCCAAACCCAGCTAATACCAGACCAGAACTCAGTTAATACGTAATCCCAAACCCAGCTAATATCAGACCAGAACTCCTTTAATACTTAATCCCAAACCCAGCTAATATCAGACCAGAACTCAGTTAATCCATAATCAAACTGAGTTAGTACCAAACTCAAAACCCACTAATACCAAACCCAATTAATATCAAACTTACACAAAGTTAATACATACACTAAAACCCCACTAATACCAAACCCAGTTTAAACCAAACCC